TATGGTTTTTAGACCTCAGAAAAAATAAAAAAATAAAAAGACTTTAATACAAATTTCGTTATCTCTTTCTCATTGTCTTTGGTGATAGAAGCAGAACAACAAAGGTCAAGGTTAGGAGGCAGAGATACTTCAATAAAACTTGTGCGATACTCGAGACATTTATTGCCGGAGTTAAAATTGTTAACAGAATTGAAATCAGGAAAACACAATAAAAAATTTAAATTGAAACAAATGTTTCCGGAAAAATAAAATAAAACAAAAAACGATTAAATTAGAAGAAGTTTAAAAAAAAATAATTAGATTATGTTTGATGTTATCCCATAATTATTAAAACATTAACTTAATCTTGGTCGTCTTGACAATGCACACTATAAAAAACAGAGAATAGCTTTACAATGTTGAATAAAAACAGGAGTTATTAATTAAACAAGTTTAATGGGGTGAACCAGTCTAGGAGACAAAAAAAAGTTAACAAACGATTGTAAGGATTTGACATTGAAAAACGATGTACATCTGTTTAATGGATCAAACAAGGAACTGGTATGAAGCGTAGAGTTATTGCATCCATTTATGACGTCCACAAAATTTCGGGTTTTAGGCCAACTATCCCCGTCCACTTCGACGAACCCCGACCCCCCCCCCCCCCCACTACTTGTGTAATTCGACACGGACCCGAACTTCACAAGTCCACACACGTCCTCAAAAGTAGATTATTTTCGGACCCCCCCCCCACTCCCCTCTTCGTGTGGACGTCATAAATGGATGACCCCTTATAAGTACTTTAAAAAAATATATTAGTTTTGTTGAGAATGACTAACTTTCTTTATAAAAGAATGAACAATTTTTAATTCATCTATTATTTAATCTTTTAATCTCCATCCATTACCCATCTTAATATTGCCCGTCGCCATCACCCCCCTTCCTCTCAACACACACTCAAAGAACTAAAGTCTACCACTGCCAAGCGGTCACCAAGATGAACGATGGTGGTAAATCAAGATTCCCACTTTTATGCCCACCCCTCCAGCTTGGAGTGGTAAAAAAAAATATCTATTCACACGGGGTTGGCCACACAGCAGTGGTATAAACGCCCCTGTGGTCCTTAGGGGCGTCGGCGCCCTGCGGTCAAGGAAACTCAAACGTTTTATTACTACAAGGTTTTAAGACCGGTTTTGGGAATACCCGTGATCTATTTTTATAACACACTTTACTTGCGAATGATTCACACTGTCTGGTTCATCTAAGTCTGGTTTTACTAGATGAAACTAATGTTGACTGGTTTAACTAGTTTGAAACAGTTTTTTTTGGTGCTCTCAAAAAATAACTGTCGTTAAAATTTACTTAATACCGTTTTAAGAAATTTCATATTCCATCTGCCTTTCGCTGTTACTAAGAAAACTTTTTTTTTCTGAACAAGTAGGGCCTATTATAAGTATTATGTAGTATTTACCTAATTCTTAAATTTCTTTTAAACCGTATAAGAATTAACTTACAAAGAACTGAAATTTTTTTTCAAATTTATTGTGTTGTTAAAATAGAATTCAGGATCAATATTAAAGGAATTATTTCAAGTGTATTTTTTTTTTGTTATAAAATAAAAGACTATTCTTTAAAGGAATTTTTCTCAAAAGTATTTAGATCCTAAAATAGAATAAAGGACACTTTTGACAAAGTTTTCGGGGAATCCCGCTACAGTAGCAACAGAACAACCCAGCCAGCAAACCATACATAAAAAAAACCCCCAGCTCCTCACACAAATCAGCCGAGGTTCCATTACCTCCAGGAATGTTCTAGAACGGCGTGTAGACATTCATCAAAGCAAATCTGGCCTTTTATCTCCACGAGCGTACGACGGCCAGCCCTGCCGACTCATGCGTTCAAAACTTGGTGCGTGTGTGTACGTGTCAGACACGGGGAATGGCCTTGTCCGACTCGATAACGGGTCGCTCACCTTGTTACCGATACGGGTTCGCGTGAGCTCGAATACCGATCACCATGACCTCTAGTCTTAAGACGTGTGTCACGTGGTAGTTGTGTGTTGGTAAAACCCGTCACAAAGCAAGTGACTATTTTTTTTTTTTGAAAATTAATGGCAGCTAACAAAAAATGCTGCTACAATTTTAAAGAGTATAGTGGTAAGTAAAAGTAATGTTCCCTTATCAAACCTGACGGTCTTTGGGACAAGTGAAGTAGAGTTCACCTGTTTCCGTGACCTCAGCATTTGACAGGATAGTTTGGTCAGCAGTATGCCCCGCCACCTTTACTTTCCCTAACCTGAGTTGGGTGGACTCAGGGACATTCTACCGGATTCGACCTCGAGACATTCAGGTTAGCAATCTAGCGCTCTACCGCAACGTCACATATCAAAGAGTATAATAAAGGAAGATAAAAAGGAACGGGGAGGGAGATGTGAAGAAAAAGATCAAAGTTCCTGTTTATTTATAGTTATAAAAATAAAATTAAAATAATAGGATTATTAGGGTCAGTTTTGAGTTAGAGGTTGATTAGAATGTCAGGGTTACAGTATGGCTATGCATTTTGTTTTCACCATGGACTAGAATTCTCATCTACCCCTCCCCACAATCATACATACGTACAGGAAAGTAGGTGGCGCCTCCGTTGAAACCTCATCTCGCCTATAACTACGAAGCAGAAGACAGACTTGGGACTTAGGTCAAAGTACTTATTCAGCTTTTTGCTTACAATTTTTGCATTTACTAAGTAGCAGAGGCGTAGCGAGGGGGGGGGGGTGCGGACCGCACCAGGTGAAACCATTTAGGGGGTGTCACCAAGGCAAAAAATAGCAAAATATATACAGTAAAGTGATTATTCCACTTAATTAAGTGATTAATTAGAGTGAGTTAAATAGTCTTTTAAGAGCAAAGTTGACAAATCCCGACAAGGGTGGAGAGGGGGGGGGGATGACATAATTAAGTGCCGCACCGGGTGATACCCGACCTCGCTACGCCACTGCTAAGTAACAGGTACATGGCATTCTCTTTAATATATACGGTGTAGTCGGATGGTAGAGCACACGGCTACCAACCAGAAAATAGCGTGTTCGGATCTCTGGCTCGAGTCTGTAGGATATCCCTGAGTTCACCCAGCCTCAGATGGGTTCCTAACTCACGTTAGTGGAGGTAAGAGCGGATGGGCAAAGTGCTCACCAAACTCTTTCTTCATCTGCTGAGGTCACAGAACCAGATGAACTCTACTTCATTTCCCCCCATGAACACCCAGGCTCAAAAAGGTAACTTTTACTAAAGCCAATAACAGATAATCTTTTAATCTGATAATAATTGTATTCAAAGAAACCAACAAAACATTTATTTTTGAAAGTACAGTTACTTGTAGGGATCACAGAACACCACGCACTAAATGACATCTAATTATACACAAGTTAAATCACATAAACAGCGGCCCAGAAGCTTGTCTAAGGTAATGAACAAGACGACATGATAAGCTAAATTAAGATCCAACCCCCTAGGAAAGAATTTATACGAGCGGGAAACCGACAGCGTGGTAGTGAAGAATTCAGGGAGTCGAAAGCCTCTTTATGAAAAACGGAAGTGTGACATCATTTTTGAAAGAAATATATTTTATGTCTATCCAAGTATCCAAGTACACGGATAAAAGTCTATCTCTATCTGTTATCTGCCGATGGAGATGACGACAATGTCTTTGAAATCGCACTCAATGATATGACCTTTGCACACAAAGAAATATCTGCAGTGGTTAGAACTCGTGCTCCTGAAGTCGCGTTCATCAGGGACGAAAACCGATCCAAGGAAATCCTAATGGCGTTCAGGAAGGTTTTCTTGGGGGTTCGCGCTTTTATGGCGCGTAAATAAGTGCGCAGGGTATCGGAAGGAATAAAAAGGAGAATGAAGAATAAATGAGAGAAAAGATGCAATGAAAGACCAGAATAAACCGACACAGCGGGATGGACTGTCAATGAACTCCGGAGTCTGGGTATGGTTTTAAAAATATATCGCGAAAAAGTGCGGGGGCGTTGATGCGCATGCGCGAGGTAAACGGACGTAGTAGGGGATAGGGGTAAATTAAACACTTAATATTTTACAAAAAAATAAAGAAACATACATTTATGTTTATATTGGTGTTTTTACGTACACAAAAATAAAATAAAAGATAAATTAAGCTAGAGATAGGGCCTCAAAAAGTGAATTTCAGTTTCTAATCAAACCTACGATCACCTGAAAGGTGGGTGGAGGGGGTGGGGGCGTAAACGTAGCTCATATGATGCTGATATAATGTAAATGTATATAGATTACACACTCTCTGGGTCCGTGGTATTAATAGAACAGCGGGCATCCTTATATTAAAAAAGGTTCCAAAAATATACGGCCCTAACCCATACGTCTATGGTTTCATAAGGTCCTGACCTAAATATTACGCCTCTCTTATAATGTAACAAAACAATGACCTTCGCCTCACTCCCGATACCTAGCAATCAAAACAATTACCTACTTCGTAGGCCCCTGGCCCCCCCCAAAAAAACAACAACAAGGACCTACTTCGGATTCCTGACCCAACAATATATGGACCTAAATCACCCCCCCCCCCCCCTGAACTTACAAATAAAATAACCTACCGCGCACGTCCCTGACCCAACAAAACAAAGACCTACATCACACACAATGACCTACCACATAACGACCTAACTTGTATGCCCCTGGGCCAACAAAACAAAGACCTGCATCACACGCCAATGACCTCACAAATAAAAAGACCTACCTCGTACGCCCCTGGCCCAATCAAACAAAGACCTACACGCCCTTGGCCCAACAAAACAAAGACCTACACGCCAATGACCTAACAAAAAAAACGACCTAACTCGTACGCCCCTGGCCCAACAAAACAAAGACCTACATCACACGCCAATGACCTAACCAATAAAACGACCTACCTCGTACGCCCCTGGCCCAACCAAACAAAGACCTACATCACACGCCCATGACCTAACCAACAAAAAGACCTACCTCGTACGCCCCTGGTCCGGGAAAGTCTTCCTTGTCGTCCCTGAAACGTTTATCCCTGGTGTTGATGAGGGCCGCCTTCTTGTTCAGTGTCTCCCTGTCCGTGTTGTACGACGCCGGACCTGTCAGACGAGACACAAAAATCTGGCTACAGAACAACGTCTTCGGCCATGTTGGGGGGTGGGGGTGTTGGAGGGGACAGCCGGGGCAGGCACTATGTAAAGACACAACCATACATCACCGTGGGAACATGCGGATTACAGGAAATGGCAGTCAAACATGTCCGGCCGACACGGTTTCCGTTGGTTACGGAGAAGAGGTGTCATGGTAACGAACATTTTGTTTTTTTTTACTCTATGCAAGATATGCGTGTCTAAGTGACGTAAGTTCCGTTTTTTAAAGAGTAACAAATCAGTGGCTTAGCAGGTAGTGACAAGCTCAGTAACTTGCATATTTGACATTTCCTTATGAAATTATATATATATATATATATATATATATATATATATATATATATATATATATATATATATATATATATATATATATATATATATATATATAGTTAACTTTCCCCTATCGTTTCAGCTGAGACAGTGTTTTAAAGATATATTTGTAACGTAGAGGGTCTGCGTGGTCGAGTCGGTTGCTAATGGTTGCTAAACCGAAAAGTCTCGAGTTCGAACCCTCGGGCAGATGAGGCTCCCTAGCTGGAGACAGTCACTCTTCTAGGGGAGACAACTCCAAAATCAAACAACTGCTGCCTTGTAGTTTGTTCTTGGTTGGACAAAGGCTATGGAACCAAATCCAAAAAGAAAAGCAGGCTGAAATCGGAGTCAATGGCCTCAATAGCGCATAACCAGTTGACACGTAATCCTTAATTGTGATGGAAGCATGGTCGAGTCGGCAAAGCTCATGGTTGATAAATTCGAAAAAAGTCTTGAGTTCAAACCCTCTGGTAGATAAGGCTCGATCCCTCCCAACACTAAAAATTAAGAACGAAGAAGAAGAACATATAAGACTTTTTAGGAGCAATTTTGAGTTTTAAAAAGTTATCTAATGCGCAAAAAATACGGTATTAGGATCACGAAAATATGAGTTTCAAGCCACATTTAGTACTAGTGTCGTGGATTTAAAAATGTAGAGCAAGACTCTATGAAACAATTAATTGCTGTCTAATGGAGACCGCCATTAAAGGTCTTGTAAAATTGGGATGCGGTATAAAACAGAGGCGTGAGTCACTGGCCCATTATGCTAATACACGGCAAGGGATTTCGCGAAAAATGCGAAGAAATAAAAGGCCTAAACAAGATGGACTCTGTCGTCAAAGAATTAACATACCGAGCTCGTTATAATATGGGAGGCAACTTGTTTTTTTTTGTTAAAATATCAGAAGAATATCAATTTGTTGATTTAAATAATTTTTTAAAATGAAATGAATGTGTTAAATAAAAATTGTTTAAAGTTAGCTTCCCCTCTATCGTATAGAGATCCCCTGCAAAAATGAAAATTTACTTTTTAAGCAAGTTTTTATTTTATGAATGTAATGCGATATAAATTATTTATGTCTTAGAAAAAGATTTTAAAAAACTAATTTTTAAAGTGTTAATTTTATTTATTTTGATTATTTAAAAATGCTTAATAAGATTTATTTTTAAAAACGTATAAAGTGAATCGATAGAAAACGCATAATTTGAAAAAAAAATGCTTCTCGTCCCAAATAATGTTGAAAATTATAAAACTGAGTTTAAAAAGAATTATTTTATATAAAAAAAAATTAAACCTTATTTAAGTTTCTTAAAAAATAAGATGTTTTTCAATTTACATTGATTGCACTAATCTTTGAACTTTTTTTTTTCTAGAATAGCTTTCATATCTGAATATCGAATCTGTATTTGAGTTTCTTAAAATTAAATTTATTTTCTTTATGGTTTAGCTGGCTGACGTGAAATCGGGTCATTGTTTTCGTTTCTTAAAATGTTGTTTTAATTTAACTTTATTTCTGTTTTTCATATAATAAATGTCGAGACATGCTATAACGGTACGTCTACATTTCCTGAATTTTCTTAAATACACATTCAACGGTTTATATTTAGAAATCGTCTGCACGAACTTCAGATAACTCTAGCTGTAAATGCCCGACTGAATTTTAAATAGAAATATCTTTTTCAATACCAGTTAACCTCTGTGGAACCAGTTGCTGTTGTTTTTTACTTTGTTTTATTTTTTAACTTTTTTTTTTTTTTTACTTTTTTTTACTTCTTGATATTTTTTTCTTTTTTTTTTCTTCTAAGCTCAATATCAAGAACAAATAAGAAGGATGCGATGAAGAAGCTAATAACAGTGAAGGAAAAAAAAAGAAAAAAGGAAAGACAGAAGGATACGCCCCCAACTGATTTCCTCTTTCAATAAATCACTTGTTGCATAAATGAAGGGCGGTAACTCTCCGAGCGGCGTTTAGTCATGCAACAGGGGATGTAATCTGGTATTAACCACATCAGTGGGTGCCGATTGAAGAAAACACATGCGGGCTGGAGGAGGGGGAAGGGTGGGTGGGGTAGGGGGGGGTACAGTAGAAGATGAGGTTTTGGTGGCAGGGTCAATAACAGGATTTGGTGGAGTTAAGGATTTCAAGATCACTGTGGAAATACTATAGATGTGTTTTTTGTTGCAGGGCCAATAACAGGATTTGGTAGATGATGTCAAGGTCAAGGTTGTGGTGGAATAGTGGCGTTGTCAGAATTGTATTTGGTGGAGTGTAGAGTTGCAGAGTGATGTCTATGGTGGAGCGGTAGCGTCAGGAAAGTTTATGGTGGAGCATAGAGTGGCAAGGTCAAGGCTGTGGTGGATTTGGTGGCAAAGTGAAATCTATGCCAGGGTGGATTAAACTGTGGTGGCGCCAACACACACGGGGATGCTGGGATATAAAAAGCATGACTTCAACTCGTATTTTAATGTATTTTAATGAATGTGAAATTCAACTTTTCCCCCAGCCTTCACGATGATCTTGTAGCAACATCAGGGGCGGTGCGGACCGCACCGGGTGACACCATTTAGGGGGGGGGGGTGACACCAAGGCAAAAAATAGCAAAATATATAGAGAAAAACATGAGGGGGGGGGTGCAAATCGAAAGTTTGAGGGGGGGGGGGGTGCAAATCGAAAACTTGAGGGGGGATGCAAATCGAAAGTTTGAAGGGGGAGGGGGGGTGCAAATCGAAAACTTGAAAGTTTGTCCCCGGGAAGGGTCGCTACGCCTCTGGGGGTGACACCATTAAGTTCCGCACCGGGTGACACCCGACCTCGCTACGCCACTGAGCAACATTCAAATGTGGATTTTAACACCAGCTTCCACACTCCTAATCAGATACTGCCCTCAAACATAACTCACAAGACAAACATTCCGTTTGCTGGTTCCCTGTATTAAAACAGTCTACACTGCGTGGCCTAGCGGTAGAGCGCTAAACTGCTTAACTTACCGTCTCGAATCAGGGTTCAAGTGTCAACCCAACTCTGATGGGTACCTAATTCTCGTTAGGGAAGGCAACGATGCTGGGCATAGTGCTGACCACACTATCCCTTCATATGCCGAAGGTAACCGACACAGGTGAACTCTACTTCACTTGCCTCATGGCTCATCAAGACAAAAAAGGGAACTTTACTAACTTTATTTACACAGCTTTAGATAGAGTCAGGAAATAACCACCAAGCTTTTACATATCCCACCCCAATTCTCTCCCCGCGTGTTAACCAGAGCCCACCCAGCTCCGAATAGAACATGGCGTCAGGTAGAGGAAGACAAGATGGACTAGGCCGAGTGGAGGATACACATCTACACTATAAATCGTTAGAAAACAAATTATCTTTACCCCCAGCTCGCCAATTAATTTACCGTCTGAAACAGGTTACCTTTTCGGTAGAGGTATTTTAATTTACCTAATAAAATAGAGATAGTTTCATTTACAAAGATAAGTGGTCTAGTTGTTATATATATCCATTTTTTTTTTAGTTTGCAAAGTTGAAATATTACTGTTGCTGTGACTACTAAACACGTAATCGAGAAAATAAATGTGTGTATTCGTTGGGATTTAATTTTAAAAACGTTGGTTACATTTTAAAATTCAAATATTGGTCATATCTATAGACAACTAATCAAGCAAAGCAATGTGAAGGATTCACATTTAGCAACACAATACAAACAGGTTTTAAAACACGCAAAATTGAGGCGTTTTCCGGGTCGTTTGTTATAGTTTGGTTTCTAAAAATAGACGAATGGGAGGAGCGTGGGAGTGGGGGGTGTTCTAGAAAAAAGGGAGGGGTGGGGGCAGAATATCATGACTCAAAAGGACGGCTGTAATAAACGAGGGAAATATTTAAATGCTATGCAAAAGACGCGATATTTAATGAATCCGCGGCGGAACTCTCCTCTGCGCATGCCAGGAAGAAAAAAATATAAGGGAGAAAAAAATCTTTATAGAAAAATGATTTACTCAACATCATTAATAAATGTTTGGGGGCGGGGGGGATCTTGTTTGCTCACAGTTGCCATTCCTTGACCGCGAGTGAGTTTTCGAGAGTATGGAGGAAGGGGCGGAGAGGGCGAGGGGTAAGGGGGTAGGGAGGGGGGTTGGGACGTGAAGACGGTATGCGGTCCCGAGATTAAATCAACAGTTGGGTACACAATCGGTGCCAGTGTTTGCCGTCCGGTGATCACGTGACGGGGAAGGTCAACAGTCATTGGCCAGTTGCTGGTCACCGGTCCACTGTTTGCTTATTATGATCCACCAGACCGTGATTAGCCTCACGTAATTAGCCGCACTGTTCAATCAAGCGGGCACATTTATTTTTGTCGAAAGACGATCGAAATCGTTGGAATATTTGGTCGTGGATTGGTTAAAAATTAGCTTAATCGTGTAATGTAGTGTAGAATAGGGTATCAACAAGTAATTAAAAATATATATTAGCCTGTTGTAATACTAACTGGTGATGTTTAAATTTCGATAGCTTAATACTTGGAGTTTTCTTTTTAAATTAATAGTTGCAAATGTTTTAAGATGTTTTCCAGCTCATTAGAGGATCCACTCTATGAAATACTGCTGTAAGGAATACCGATGTAAATAACAA